AACATTGAAAATGTGTCTTCCAGTCAGAATCAAGTTTTAGTATGAGGAAGTACAGTTAACAATAATACCTAAAACTATCCAATTATAATAAATTCAAATAATATAATATTTGAATACATTGAGTATTGAATTTTGACAAATCATTTCATATTGGTGAGCAACAATCAATTTGAATATGAATCAAGAGTTGAACAAAAAAATCATCAATTTCGTTTAGAAATGATGAATTTTTTGATTTGGTATTTGAATTTCATTGTATTTCTGCAATTTTTCATATTATCTGGTAATCTGTTATATTAAAAAAGAGCAGCGGGGGTGAATCTTTTTTGTCCAATAGAAGAGTTAGCGATATCAAGATGGAATAAATCATGTTGTCTAGTTTGGTAATCATGAATTTCATTGTTTCGTGTTAAAATAAAATTGGATTTCTATCTTATATTAATGATATTGAATGTAATTTTTATATTTTCAATTTTGAATATTTCTCCTATAATGAGAATGATTGAGTTATTTTATATAGAAGATTTGTTGGTGTATCATATGGTAAACGATACGATACTTTCAATATCTTTTTATATTTTTTTTTCGCTTGGAGCGCACGAAAGGGAATCCCTATAATGTTCAAAGAACATCGTGCGTTCCTAGGGAGGATAGGGCCAGGAGGTGGGTATTGGATTTTTTTTTTGAACTTTTGGAGATTATATGTTGTTGGGAATACTTCCACAGGCAATGAATTCCAGAGCCTAGCCGCTCTATGGATGAAGGAGTCTTGATAATGTGCTGTTCGACATCTTTCGAGGTTGACAACGAAAGGATGTGCTGACTGAGCTTGTCTGGGTTCGTCTGATTGGTATTGGTAGTGAAGGGATGATAGCAGAGATTTCCGAAGAACATTTCCCGTGGAAGTATGGATAGAAAAGTGAAAGGTCGCCGACCTTTCTACGGTGTTCCAATGATGTCAAAGAGTGAGTGAGTGTGGCGTCACCCACCAGGCGAATGGCTCTTCTCTGGATGGAATCTAAGAGCATCAGCGTATGTTTTGGTGCTGAACCCCATATGTGGAAACAGTATTCTAGAACAGGCCGCATCTGCGATTTGTAGATCATGAGAAGCTGTTGAGGTGTAAAGTAGCTTTTCGCACGGAACAAGAATCCGAGTTTTTGTGAAGCAGCTTTTGCGATGGATCTGACATGATTATCCCATGCAAGAGTGTTGCTGATGGAAATACCGAGCATAGATATGGTGGGCTTGGTGGGGATGGTGGAGCCAGACATTACAATATCGGGCATACTGAGTTCCGCCTTTCTAGAGAAAATGCAGGCTTGAGTTTTGGTGGCGTTGAATTCAACGGTTGTTGGTTCCTCAGGCTGTGATTTCAGCAAGATCTCCATTGACAGCATTGACCTGCCTGCGGCGTGAGTTCTTAGTTTCCTGGGAAGAAATGGGAATTCTGGATACTGCAGTATTTTTAATAAAATTGTTTTCTGAACAGTATCTCTAAACATTTATCAAATGGATAATGGTTAATTCGACTGAGTGAATGAGAATATAGAATTATATATGCAACTTTTTTATCCAGCTTGGGACATTTCCTCTGGGCTTAAATAATAGGATATAGTTCTTTCGTCATAACATTTACATGTTTGTTCCACTTTGATTTATCATCAAACCAAATCCCAAGATAATTTTTCTGATGAGTTTGTTTCGAAGATTCATTTTTAATTCTGAGATTCTAATTTATATTTTGTTTATTTTTTTGTTGAAAAATCATATATTTAGTTTCATCAGTATTTATTGATAAAAGGTTTGAATGTAGCGATTTTTCAAATTTCGTCAAGTCTCTGTTTATTATATTCTCTAAAATGAAAGTATTTTTATTTAGATATAAAAGTACCGTATCGTCTGCATAAATAGTGTAATTACTTTCTGTTTCAATTTTCGTGATATTTTGAATATATAATAAATATAAGATTAGTTCTAAAACAGATCCTTGAGGGATACCTTTAGACTAATCTGAACTAATCTAAGTATAAACTTTCAAGATCATAATAATGCAAACACTAACCAATCAAATTCAAATGGAAAACGACGTTCTTCGAGATGTTGCGACATCTGCTATACCGGGTGACACAGGGTATCGGGCCACCCCTGTAACTTCTGCATTGGTCAACGGATTTTTCTGAAATTTGGTACAGTTATATAAGCAATTATTTCGGATTTGATCACATTACAATCCAATATGGCGGACTTCCGGTATTTCTGGAAATGCCAGCAACTTTGTTTTTTCAAATGAAACACCCTGTATATTTTTACATATTCGAGTTCAACAGGTCGAAACAAGTGCAATCTTTATTTCAAATGTCAATTTTTCGAAATAATTTTAATTAAAATTGTTTTTTCATTTTACCTCGTGGATAAATGAGATGTGGTCAAGACTATTCACAATGAGTCACACATAACAGAAGAACATATTTTTTTCTGGAAAATTTTTTTTTGTGTCACTTATCCAGGAATCAATTCAGCCACATCACTTTTTGATCAAAAATTATTTTTTTTCAAATGGAACCCCTATGGGCCACCTACCCGTCTCTCTAGAACATACATTAAGGAACAAAATGACATATCATTTTTGTTTTTCGGTGCAGTAACAAATTGTATACATTAAACAATCAACAACTAGTTTATGAATTTCCTTGCAGTTAGAATAATTTTTCAACTAGGTAGGCTGTGGAATAAATGACATTTGACATCAAGATTGCACTTGTTTTGACTTGTTGAACTTGAATATGTAAAAATATACAGGGTGCTCCATTTGAAAAAACAAAATTGCTGGCATTTCCAGAAAAACCGGAAGTCCGCCATATTGGATTTTAATGTGATCAAATCCGAAATAGTTGCTTATATAACTGTACCAAATTTCAGAAAAATCCGTTGACGAATGCAGAAGTTACAGGGGTGGCCCGATAACCTGTGTCACCCGGTATTACAGCATGCAAAAAACACAAATTGCACTTTCGATTTCAATATTCACCATATTATTATTTAAATGTTCTTCAAATAAGTTTCTCATTATATCGATGAAAAAAAAATGTCTTCCATTATTTTCCATTGCATGAAAATATCGTGCGGAAAATTTACTGTACCGCACTAGTGATGAAAAGTTACTCTTCCGCACGATTTTTGTATTGTTGAAAATAAGAATATTCGCATAGGACTAACTAAACGATCCATGTAACTATTCTGTCATGTGTCATTTTGTAGCATCATTATTAGTTATTTTTGTATCTAGAGCGCGAAATGCTACTTTGGTGATCGAGATCTGATTTTAATAGTCGAGATGACCAAAGTATTTCGCGCTCGAGTTGCAAACAATATTTTTTCTACAAACGTCAAAAAATATATTTCTATAGTAAAAATATGCCTAGCTAGATGAAAAAATAGTGTTGAACTGGCTTAAAAGGCCTCCCCCTATCCTCCCTAGGTACGCACGATGTTCCACGAACATAATAGGAATTTCCTTTTGTCCGCTCCAAGAGATAAAACAGATTTATTGTTGAACATTCAGAAATAAATGATTTCGTGGATGTTTGCTCGATTGAGGACCATAAAGTTGAAATATAAATATCTCATATATTTTACACAACAATACGCGAAGTAGGTACTTCGCGCACTGTTTTACTTCGCGCATTGTTTTGTACAAGGTATCATGGTATCGTAGGAAACTGAAAAAAAAGTGTCACTTCGCAATTTGTCATCAATGCGCGAACCTTGTCATTTTTTGACGTTTGAAGAAAATAGTTATTTTTGTATCTAGAGCGCGAAATGCTACTCTGGTGATCGAGATCTGATTTTTTTTACGAGGCGTAGCCGAGTTGAAAAAATAGTCGAGATGACCAAAGTATTTCGCGCTCGAGTTGCAAACAAATTTTTTTCTACAAACGTCAAAAAATATAGTTCTTGAGTGAAAATATGCCTAGCTTGATATAGAAAATAGTGTTGAACTGGCTTAAAAGCCTCCCACTATCCTTCCTCGGTACGCACGATGTTCCACGAGCATAATAGGGATATTCTTTCGTGCGATCCAAGAGATAAAACGAAGCTATTGGTGAACATTCAGAAATGAATGATTTCGTGAATGTTTTCTCGATTGGGGACCATAAAGTTGAAATATAAATATTTCATATATTTTACATAACAGTGCGCGAAGTAGGTACTTCGCGCACTGTTTTACTTCGCGCATTGTTATGTGCAAGGTATCATGGTAACGTAGGAAACTGAAAAAAATTGTCACTTCGCAATTTGTTATCAATGCGCGAACCTTGTCATTTTTTGACGTTTGTAGAAAAAAAATATTGTTTATTAAAAACCTTTTTTTTTCATAAATAATATGGACAAAAACACTCGTAGAAAAAACTTTGTACCTAACTCTTGCGGAAAATGTCTTTTCCGCACTTGTTAGGTAGGTACATATAACTATTTCAAACAATGTGCAATTTCACCATACCAAATCTTTCAACTATTATTGATATATTCGGTGTTTGTGATCTCGTCCAAAGCGAACACTCGAGTTGGGTGATAATCTCCGACCTCTAACCAATGATTCCCAAAAGTTTCAGGAAAACTTCGAAGCTTAATAATTTCCATAATATTTTTTCTCTCGACAAAAACGAAATCTTTCATCTCGAATTGTTGTTTCGTCTACTATCATCCATTAAATTCATTGCCACAATTTCGAAAACACCCTATATTTCATTAAATTTGTTTGGACTTCTCGGAACTAAGCATTTCAATTCATCTAGATTTCCTGGAATTTTTTCTGCAGGTTTCTATGAATGAAAATATGAATATTATTTCAATATGTAGGTATAGTCACCGAACATAAACAGGTTTTTGTTCGGTGGTATAGTGAAGGAAAATCAGGTGATTTGCTTCAAAATATCGTCACTGCGTTTGATAATTATCATCTAGAAATCCGTTAATGATTTTTCTGATTTCTACAGGTACCTATCCAAGCTGCATATCTTTATGATGCAGTCATGATCTACGCCAGAGCTTTAACTGAAGTTTTTCAAAACAACGAGGATCCTAGAAATGGTACCGCCATATTGGATAGGATTGTCAACAGATCTTATCATTCCATACAAGGCTATGACGTAAGCAATGATTCTGCTTTTGTGAAGCTATGATCGTATATTGTGCTATGATACTTATAATATATTCCAACACAAGCTGAGTAGGTGAGAATGTTTATTGTGTATTTAGAGCTTAAGGTGGTAGATTGCCGCTAGCCAAACAGAGTTAACTTGGTTGCTTGAAATACACACAATTTTTTCAGAACCTATCTTGGTGTGGCACCAACTCATGAATTCATATTTTTTTTTCTCGATTTCTACGATAGGTGAATAAGAAATTCAAAGTAATAGATTTCTACACTAGATCATTGAAAAGAAATATTCTCAGATATATCATAATCATGAAAATAATGGGTATATACGTATAAAGAAAATCTGAAGTTGCGAATTTGCATCCTCATCATTCGGAATATTCGATCAACGGAAATCAAGTATATTCTCCAGGCTATTCTCCTCGTCGAACATTGAATAACATTATTGTTGATGAACACCTTATTAGCTCAGAGTCTGTACAATAATTCAATTTCAATTTTCATTGCAATACTGAATATGTTGGAGTTATACAGAGAAGTGCACAAAAAACGGCCAGTGCTGTATCTTCTGAATCATGCTAGATCAGATTTCGAAAATTGGTGGGTGGCAAGTATACCAAATTTTACATTAATTGATGTAACAATTCGTGTTCAATCACTTCCGATCTCACCAGAAACGACCCTAACTTTTGATTTTTCAATAGGACACCCTGTATTTTATTACATGATCGGTTAGAGATAATTATGACGAATCCAAAGATACCGGGTTTGATAGGGTTTATTCAAACGACTACAAAGATATTCGCGTTTCCATTTCCTCAATAAGTGTGACAGAGAAAGAAGCTTCGATATTGCGAAGTCACACCCATTGAGCAAATGGAAACTCAAAACGTTTATATTTTCGTAATGGTTTGGAATAACCCTATCAAATCCGGTATCGTAATATTCGTTATGATAATCCCTAACCGATAATGGAATAAAATACAGGGTGTCCTATTTGAAAATCGAAAATTAGGGTCGTTTCCGGTGAAACCGGAAGTGATGGAACAGAAATTGGTTTGTCAATTAATGAGCAATTTGGTATATTTGCTACTTACCAATTTTCTGCGAACTCAAATGATTCAGAAGTTACAGCACTGACCGTTTATTGTGCACTTCTCTGTATGTCTATATCATTTAATATCATATTCACCCGATTCGAAAGATAATGTCAATTCTCAATCTCAGAAGATTTTTCAAGAAATGTATAGAGGCTAATAGTCAGGAAAGTATTCGTTTTCTGTTGAATATTCCGAATGATATTATATTCACCGGGTGACACAGACTCATGGTATACCCCTCTCAATCATTTTATAAGCTATACAAGGTATTTCAAAAAAACCTAACCCCCTTGCTAGGGTGGGTAGATCATTGCAAAATAAGTTGGGTTTGTTCTGTGAAAAAATGTCGTGACGGCATCCGTTTTCATGATACAAGGTGTTGAAAAAATTATTCATTTTTCACGATTATTCCGAAACTGCTGGCAACATTGTAATGAGATTTTGTATGGATGTTTCTTGAAATCTGTCACATCGCATGAATTTGTTTATATATCTGACTCTCATAGAGGGCGCTAGTTACACGGTTCGTACCGAGTAGTTTTGAACATAATACTTTTTTGAGGTTAGATTTTTCAATCCAAATATGATATAAGACTGCTGGCTGGAGACTGCCCTGCACTGATGAGAGTCAAAGAGCTCAGAACCGGTCTGTAGGTGTCAAGCGTGACCTGGCTAAATCGAAATCAATAGGCATCCAGAGAAGAATCACTCGTATCAGTATTTGTTTATACGAGTTGATGCATAGATTTCGGGAAGATGTAATTCAATGTTCTGCGTGGCATTAGCCAGGATAGTTGTTGTTTTTCGCCCGAAATCTACCACTGCTGTTCATTTTTTGAACATTGTGTGGAAATGACTTCGACTTTTTGTATTTATTTTTCTTCAATCTCATCATCGACAAAGGAGTCGCAAAGGATTCAATTACCTTCGAAATGTGATGTATTTTTGTAAATTCAATGAAAGAAGACACAATTCCTAGTTTTTACGAAATATGTCCCCGTTTGAACTGGACGGAAGTCCGTTAGCGTTATTGAACGTCTCAACCACATTAAAGGAGTCGGTCTTTTATAGGTATCATTTGATGAAGTCTGGAATACTCAATAATTCACCCCTATAACACTGAATATCCCGATAAGGTCCTACGAATGTCCCAATTTTCCAGAACTAGGTATACTATCTCTCTCTGTCTTTCTCTCTCCTGCGTGTGCGGCGGATTATTTTACTGTCAAGAAATAAAACTGTGCATTGCCCTAGTAAAGTCTAATTCATGCTCTTTCCTTCAAATTCTTTTGGCAAAACCCATGAAAAACGATCCATTTTTTATGTTCCAGGTATTTATAGATGGTAATGGAGACGCTGAGGGTAATTTCACAGTGGTAGCCCTTCTCGACGATAAAGAAATGAATGGCACCCTACGAATGAGTATGCAGCCTGTCGGATATTTCCAGTACAATTCTAATGGAAGCATCAAAGCTACAGCATTGCCAGTAAGTCCGAGGCAGCATCATTGAAATACATTGAAACGGTAACAACCATTGGAATCGTCGAATCAAACGATGGTCACGTCTGTACCTCGGAATAACAGAATAGCAAAAGCTAGACACCGCGATTCATTTATAAATCATGAAAAAGTAGGTACAGGTTTTTCATGGCAAGCAGGGTCTACATTTATATGCGAAACTGCTGAGACTAGTTTTCTGGAATTTATTAATACCTACTGCATAAACATTGTTCAATGAAGATATATCTGGGAGCAGGAAGGTTGGACTTCATCTGGTTCTTGATCATTAACATAAATTAAATCCACATAATCCAATCAGAATTTCAATTTTTCTCAGGGTACGTTAGCCATAGTAGCGCAAAGACAATAAACAACAGGATGAGAACTCCAAATACACAATGTGGTTGTACACATGAGTCGAATTGTTGTCAGTAGGGCTTCGCGAGCCCAAGACCAAGACAAGGACTGATCAGTGTTGGTCTTGGTCTCGGAAAATAATTGTAGTCTTGGTCTTGGTATTGGTCTTGATGTTTCAAGATCAAGACGAGACTGGCTCAGTTCAGGTCTTGGTCTTGATTAGTCTTGGTCTTGGATCATAATGCGTCTAGGAATTTGAATTATTCAATTCAGATAACCAACAGTTTATATGCATATAATAGGTATTTCGTATTTATATCATTCTTCAAAATTGTCAATTTGTGCGTATAACGTGAGCGAAATAAGTTTCTTCTTTTATCATAAGAATATAATTTTTAAGAAACCTTGAATGGACATTGAATGAGACCCAAACAGCAAACAGGCCGACTCCCAACAGGCCAAAAATAAAAAGGTTCAAAAGGAGCGGAACTGACAACAACGCATTATCAAATTTTTTTAAAAAATTTCAAATTCAAACGAAATAACTTTTGTATTGGATTTGTTTCTATCTGAAGGAAGGAGGTATGGACCACTGTGACCTTACAACATACACCTATTTGTTGTAAACTTTGAAACTGCAATACTGAATTTGAAAAATGTATTTCGGATTTTGAGTAAACAAACATTAAAAACTTACTATATGACAAATAAATAACTGAAATAAAATGACATTACATTTTCCATCAGATTTTTCTCAATATTGGGTGGATTTAAGTTCATTATTTTTCTTTAATGACCAAGACCAAGACTCTTGGGACAGAGCCTTGGTCTTGGTTTCGAAAGTCAAGTCTTGGTCTTGGTCTTGGGAAGATTCATTAAGATTTGTTCTTGGTCTTGGTATTGGTCTTGTATCAAGACGAAGACAAGACCAAGACTGGACTCTTGGTCTCACGAAGCCCTAAAATTGCTCTAAAATTGTTCTATCCGTCATTCGGTAGTCCCCTTACAAGCAACCCTCAGAAGTTTTCGAGAGTCTTGTGCGAGCAAGGAATGACGGGGGCTTTACCTTCTAACGTGTGATCCCAAACACTTTTTTGGGCCATCAGAAAAATGTCTGCAGTCGTCGGGAATCGAACCCACGACCGGCAAGCGAATGCGGATTAGAATATAGACACTCTGCACAACTACCTGGCCCCTTGTTGTCAGTTATCTCCACCAATTCCGACGTTCTCTATAGATCAATTTTGGCACGATCAATGTTCCTACTTCATATCAATTATGTGTTGGGAGCAACCACTCGCTCTATCCACAGCTCTACAGATGAAACCACTCTCCATACTGCGTTCTCCTCTTGAATTCCCCTTTCATCCCAGGATATCAAGAACTTACGATGAAGTCAGGTCAACGCTGTGGATGACGATCTTGCTGAAATTACAGCGTGGGGAACCATAATAACCTGATTGAACTCAACGCCACCATACCTCAAGCCTGTATTCTCTCTAGAAAGGCAGAACTCAGTATGCCTGAAATAACAATGTCTGGTACCACCATTCCCACCAAGTAGTACACTATATAGATTGCATTGCAAAAACTCGGAGTTTTATTCTGTGCAAAAGTCTACTTCACACCCCAACAGCTTTTCATGATCTACCAAGCAGATATACGGTTTGTTCTACAATACTGTTTCCACATATAGGGTTCAGCACCGGAACATAGGTACGCTAATGATCTTAGAATCCATCCAGAGAAGAGTCATTCGCCTGGTGGGTGATGCCACAATTACTAACTCTTCGACATCATTGGAACACCGTGAAAAAGTCGACCACTTTTCATGTTTCCATAGATACTCCTACGGAAAATGTTCTTCAGATATCTCTGCTATCATTCCATCACTACCAATACCAGTCAAGCGAACTCGACAAGCCCAGTCAGCATATTCTTCCGTTGTAAACCTCAAAATTTGTCGAACAGCACTCTATCAAAACTCGATTGTGTATGGAACGGGGCGAAACTATGGAATTAATTGCCCACCGAAGTATTCCGAAGAACCTATACAGGGTGTCCGTTTTTCGAGCTCCACCATGGGAATCCCAGTTATTATAAGAGATTTGAGATCGATTAAATTAGGGCAAAGTTGCGCATTTTCATGCTAAACCTTAATCTGCAAGAAAATTTGGTGTAATCTTTAGTTTTTGAATTATGCTCGTTTTTATTTTTTCAAGCGGAAACCAAGAGACCTAGACGTTTCTGACTGGAACATTCTCAAGGCACTTTTTCACAAGAAATCTGAATCTCTCATTGTATTCTCCATGCCGTTCTTGATACATACCAAAGTTACAACACACAACTCTGTTTTTTTTTTCATGGGCGCCATATTAGAATTTTGCATTTATGAATTTTTTTTTTTGATTACGAAGATGTATCACATGATATGATCGAATCTTTCCTTGCGATCAAAATTGGAAAAATAAAACATTTTTGCGAAGAGTGCTTTGGAAAGAACGCCAACAGTTATTTCGACAGTTTATTTGAATTTGGATCTGGAACGTTCAAATTTTCGACAATCTCATCAACTTAAAAACTATGGTTTTGAATTAGGAACGACGTAATGAGCTAGAAGTTTGTTTTTTGGATGTATGATAAATTGATATTCATCATACAGGACGTGGAATAAAATTCTGAATTGAGAAAACCTAATCACGAATCTGCGATTGAGGTCTTTGAAAATAACAAGTTTCCATCATTCAAGTTTGAACCCCTTGATTGAGTGATTGAGTGAAAGAATTGAAAAGGAATATACTTAGATATATTTATGAACACGAAAAATTGTATATCAAGGAATACAATGAGGATTCGCATTCTTCATGTGATGTATATATTCATTATACCTCGGTTTATTGGACAGAAAACAACTACTTTCCTAGCTATATGTCTCGACGAACATTGAATTACATCTATTGAACACACACGATAAGAATTTGAAAACAAAATCTTCTGAAGTAGAGAATTTGCATTCTCCTTCATATGAAGATATGCATATTATATCATTCTGAATATTCAACAGAAAAACAACTACTCTCCTGGCTAATTGCCACGTCGAACTATGCATGATACCTGTTCAAAAAGTTCTGTTATGTTCCAAAAAGAGCATCATGAGAAATCAAAATCCTCTAAAATTGAGAATTCACATTATCTCGCAAATCGAATAGAATATTGATGTATTATGATATAAAAATATAACTTACCAATATGTTCAGTATTGAAAAGAAAATTGAAATGTATAGGAGAAGTATACTTGTAAGAACTCTGATCTTGATGAGCTTGGAACTTCCAAAAAATTCCAAAATGAGTAAAACTCATGAAGAATGGCTGTAAGAATAACTGGACTTCATGTTACTGATGAAGATATGATATCCGAAATGAGTTTTACTCGAGTGAAGTCATATAACCCGTTTGTGAGAGATATAATTCCCCAAGCTCATCAAACTCAGAGTTCATAAGTATACTTCTTCTATACATTTCAATACTGAACACATTGGTGAGTTAAATTTTTGTATCATAATACATCATTATTCAATTCGATTTGAGAGATAATGTCAATTCTCAAATCCAGAGGATTTTGATTTTTCAAGCTCTCTTTTCGGATATTCAACAGATATATTCCAATGTTCGACGTGGCACATAGCCAGGAAAGAAGTTGTCTCCCTGGTATATTCAGAATGATATTATAGGCATATCTTTATATAAAGGAGAATGCAAATTCTTTGCTTCAGAAAATTTTGTTTTCAAATTCTTATCGTGTGTTTGTGTTCAATAGATGTAATTCAATGTTCGTCGTTGCATATAGCTAGGAAAATAGTTGTTTCCTGTTGAATAAACCGAGAAAGAATTAATAGTTTCATCACATGGAGAATTCGAATTCTCAATGTATTTCCCAATATATATCCATGTTTTTGTGTTCATAAAAATATCTGAAATTATTCCTTTTCAATAGAAGTTTATTCTTCGCAAAACAAAACAAAACAGTTATAAAAGATGCTCCAATACTCCACGATCCACTCCAAAACACAATTTTACGCGTTTCCTCAGATTCTGAATTGCTCGCGAGATGCTTCTTATCTTAGTCCCTAAAGTGGTGATTATGGTTCTTCTCAGCTCATTCATATCGATCGGTACAGTTTAGAAAATCAAATCTTTCATAGTTCCCAATAAATAATGATCCAGCGGAGAGAGATCAGGTGACCGCGCTGGCCAACGTATGTCACCGTTGTTGGAAGTTACCTTGTAAAGGACAAAGACTCGGCAACCCTTCTTGCGTTATGTGGATAAGCTTAACCCTTGATTACTCGCGCTAATTAATTCGAACTTTTTCCCGCGCGGTGTATTTTGTACACCACCGCATGAATTCGACTTGTTTTTAGGTGAAACAAAAACGTATGCTTTCCTAACCCCGCACAAGTTTCGACTTATGGGGCGTTGGATCCAGTGCTGGGTCCAACAAGGAAATGCAATTAAAAAAAAATATCTGAGATGTACCAATATTTTCAAATTGCTTTTACTCGATAATACCCTAATAACACACTTATGTCCCATGAATATCCTTAGGACGTCCTGTCGGGACATTCAGGA